TAAGAGTACCGACTTGAAATCACACTCCTGGCCAACAGGATCTTGTCCCCCAGTGACCTAATCTCGGGCTACGAGACTGTAGCCGGATCTGTCCTTTTGGCATTCCCAAGCCCACGAGGGCTGCTCCCCCCCAGTTCTGAGCCAAACTGGAAGGGGAAGAACGGGGTGGGCGTCTGTGAGACAACACAACAGAACCCAGCAACCTTGTTCCCTTATATGCCTCGCTCCCATCTTGTTCCCAGACAGCCCTTGTCCTTGCCGAGCATACATGGCTGTGTGGGGGCAGACAAAATCACAGGCGATGACAGGACAGTATGTCATGATCTAGGCTGCCACGAAGACAAGGTGTGTCTTATTCCCAGCACTTTCTCTTTCTGACCCGGAAATGGTGCCTGTAGCTCCTCTCCCCCTTCTCGAAAGGACAGGCCTCCACAGGAGCCTCCCTTACCTTTTTCCGCCCCACCTTTCTTAGAATTTCTCCTCCACGCTTGGCTGCAAGTAGTAAAATATGCCCTCCAGTTGGTGAATGAAACTGAAAACGGGAACACTATAAAGAAAATCGATGAAACAAAAAGCGGCTTCTTCAAAATAATCAGTAAAATTAACAAAGCTCTAGCAAGACTGACAAGGATACAAAGAGAGTGGACACAAATGCCCCACATCAGGAATAAAACCAGGGATATCACTACAGACCCTGCCAACAACTTTATGCCCATGAACTCAACAACTCAGAAGAAACGGAACAATTTCTTAAAAACCACAAACCACCAAACTCAACCGAGATGAAACAGACAGCCTGAATGGTTCTTACAACCATTAAAGAATCTGAACTTGTAATTAAAAACCTCCTGGAAGGATGCCTCGGTGGCTCAGTCAGCTGAGCGCCCGCCTCTTAATTTTGTCTCAGGTCACAATCCCAGGGTCGTGGGATCGAGCCCCGCATCGGGTTCCAAGCTCAGTGTGAAGCCTGCTTGAGATTCTCTCTCTCCCCCCACTCTCACAAGTAAAATAAATAAATAAATAAATAAATAATAAATAAATAAATAAATAAATAAATAAAAACCTCCTGGAAAAGAGGTTTTTCTCCAGGCCCAGGTGGTTTCACTGGAGAATTCTACCAAACATTTAAAGAAGAATTAACAAAAATGTTATAATCTCTTCCAGAAAATAGACGGAGAGAAAACTTCCCATTTTATGCATTATTACCTTGATATCAAAATCAAATATAGTAAAAGAGAGAGGAAAAGGAAAACTACAAACTAATGTTTCCTCTGAACTTAGATGCAACAAAACATAAGCGAACTGACCCCAGCAACGTCTGGAAAGAATTACACATCTAGTGGTATTTATTCTAGGTCTGCAAGGCTGGTCCAACATGGGAAAATCGACCGACGTAACCTACCAGGTCGACAAAATTAGCAAGTGGCGGAACAGCACCCTTCTGCTCCCCTGACGTCCACATTAAGGCACCGCCATGGCTAAGTGGAAATGCGAGCCGTCCTTCCGGCCAGGTGCCCTGCCTGTCCCACTCTAGCTCACACCCCAGCTTGTGGGTAGGACCCCTGGAAATTCACACTTGGATCTGACTCGTGCAGAGCTGTCGACACACAGACAGCAAGGAACAGTATTCCTCCACCCGCCCGCTGATGCAGCACCCCGGAAACCAGGACGGCAGCATCTGGGCCCACGTCTACGCAAGGCGTCCCAGTGCTCCGCAGCCGAGTCACCTGACAGCCCTCGGACCTAAACAGCCAGCCCTAGCCCTGCCAAATTTCAACTCGCTCTGCGAATGCAGAAGGCACGAGACTGAAGCAGCCATAGTGTCCTTGAGGAAGTAAGGCGGCCCTGCTCGTCCGCGCTCACTGTGTTCACTGCCAGAAGGCTGGGGCCCCGGCCCACGTGTGAAACCCACTCCCGGGAGAGAACGTCTTTGAAAGAAAAACTCTGCAAGGCCTTTGGATCTTTTGAACTTAAAATGTATAAAAATCTCCAGTTTTCACTGTAACATTTCCCCAATTGATCTGCTTTTTATACCAAAGTTGCCCTTAAATGTTTTGAAGTACACTTGGAACACCCTAAAATCTAAATTCAAGTTCAACTGGCTCTGACGTGCTGAGTCAAAGGGGCGTCATTTGGCCCCAGCCCTGACGGGGCCCAGCACACGCGTGCAGATTTGCACAGGTGAAGGTGGGGCTCGGGAGGGGTTTGCTCGCCTTGTCTGGCCCTCAGGATCTTAGGTGGAAACAGACCACAGGCGGCACAGGTTTTCTTTCAAGAAATTCATGTGATCAAGTCAAGACTACTCAGGCCACCCCACCTAATGGGCACAAATGTTGATCCACTAATCCCAGGAGGAGGCAGGAGGAACGTGCCTTTTGTGTGTCTGCTGGGGTGCACCATTGAGAACCCAGCGGAGGATCCCGTGGCTGCTTGTTACGTGGCCGGGGGGGGGGGGGGAGTTCTCTCACGGCATGGCTCTGACTCTGCTAAGCCCAGAGCCTGAGGAAAGCAGGGCTCCTGCGGGGTGTTCAGAGCCCACGCCCGTGGCTCCTATGCCCTCAGAAGTAACTGCTTCAGGAGTGGACGCACGGCCGGTGTGCTACTGGCACTCCCACCGTGTGGGAGGCCGACAAAGTAGCGGTCTCTGGGCGGCAACGGTTAAGAGCAGGTACGACACGGGCGACCCCACCCCCTCGGATGTTCCCTCTGCGAGCCCCTGTCCCACACCTGGACCGCTTCACCTGTCACCACAGAGCTCAGGGATGCCCGTCACCCTATTCACAACCTGGAGAGAGGGACCTACAGTTTCTAGACCCGCCTTAATTCTGTCTGCAAATCATCTTTATTTTCTAGAACGGACTGATCTCCTGGACATTCACCAAGGAAAACTCTTGAGGTTCTATTCACACTTTGTCATGTCTGTAGCCTCTTCGCAATTTGTCACAAACTGTATCCTGCTGGATTGTAGCACATGGTGCCTCATGGAGACTCCAGGTACGTGAGTGCCACTGCAGCCGACAACAGACACACGCGGGACTCTCCGGCATGAGACCCAAGAGTGAGAACGTTCTTGCAAGTCGGTAACATGATCACGCCCAGTCTGCCATCGGTCACCAGAGACGGGACAATCTAAAGGAGGGCGGACGAAATGAGGCGGTAGAGGAGCCACATTCAGTAACTCCTCCAGCCCTCCGTGTCTGGCCAGTAAAGGGGAGAATTGGAATCCTCCACGGCTCCTCCAAGGGGAGCGCTGCCACCCTCCACCGACCTGCCAAACTTGGGAGCTTCCCGACTACCCCCGGTTCTGCTTTGGGGTCAACACAGAGAGGATCCTCTGTGTGTGACTCCCACCTAATTCCTCTGCCCCAGAACCTCCGGGTTTTCCCTTGAGCTGGCTCACATCCTTCTGACTGGAGAAAGCAAGATTCAGCTCAGGGCTTTTCTTTACCCCTTTGGGCCTACATTACTTTACAAAAAAGGCAAAAACTGCCTTAAAACCTCTCTGCGTTTCACTGTAACACTGAACTTTTCTGGTGGTCTATTGAAGTGTTCCAGACAAGTGGAAATGATGTAAAAACAGCTCCGAGGAAGTGCTTTCAGTTCAGTGTGGCTTTAAATATTCTACTACTGATACTCAAAGAACATTCTACAATTATTAGGAAGTTAAAACTACGAACTTAACAGTGAAAATCCCAACAAGGACACAGGATTGCAGCTACTGTGTGGCAACTGGACACGGCAGTCAGGACAGATGATGAATCTAACAGGGACGGGGCAGAATGCTGTAACCAGGAAGCAAGAGGGTCACATACATCACGCGCTGGGCAGCTAAAATACAATGCCCACAGGCTGGCCCCCTTCTTCCCGTGTCAGGCTGGGATTGGCGGGCTCCCATAGGAGCTCTGGGCCTATTCCAGGAACAGACAACTCAGCCCAAGCTTCGTTCCCCTTGCCTTGCGTACCCGGATAGACCCTCGCTCGCTCCACCATGTTTCTGCAACATGAGCATGGACAGTGTTGTTCACCCATGTAGAAGCTGAGGAAGCATCAACAAGCAAGTGGATAGAAAACACAGTCTGAGCCCAAGACCCGTGGACTCTTCACTGCAAGTCCTGGGGTTGCTCCAAGGTCTATCCTTCCTGGAACCAGGTCCTTCATACAAATGTAGAAGCGAGGTGTAGAGCTGAGTACAAATGTACGCAGCGAGGTGATTTCTAAAATCACATGTAAAATCTTTTGGGGCATCTGGGTGGCTTAGTCGGTTAAGCATCGGACTTTGACTCAGGCCATAATCTCGCAGTCCGTGAGTTCAAGCCCTGCATCATGCTCTGTGCTGACGGCTCGGAGCCTGGAGCCTGCTTTGGATTCTGTGTCTCCCTCTCTCTCTGCCCCTCCCCTGCTCACACTTGGTCTCTCTCTCAAAAATAAATAAACATTAAAAAAATTAAGAATAAATAAAGCTACATGTAAAATCTTTTAATGAAAGGACAGGGTTAAGTGTGTGTGCATAACTTCCTATTTATATTTAAGATAAGCATAGAGCTAACAAGTTTAAGGATTACCCATTGTTTCTTCCTCAAGCTCTTGAAATAAACTGGGTTCCTTTAGAGGATACAAGTTTACTCAAAATCTAGTTTTTCCCTCTTGAAAAATTATAACACTGGGGGAAAACCTGACCCTGTGAGAAAATGCAGTATTGTCACACAGAGATAATTATGTGGTAATGATCCGAAAGGGCAGGAAGCAGAGAAGTCTATCATCAGGTGTGAATATCAAATGACTTACTGTAACAGGAATCTCTGAAACATACAATGAACTGCCACATTACATTTTATTTTCCTTGCCTGTTGACTGAACCTGAGAGAAGAGCTTGCCCTCTGAGAGTCCCCAGAGCAGGACAGGCAGGACTGAGCGCTGACTTTCCCACCCCGCCATGCGGCCCCAGGACATGCGGCTACCCTTCCCCTCCAACGGCCAGAGGCTAGAAGCAGCCCACGCACCTCCACCAGCCGCCAGGCCTCGCTGATGACGGCATACTGGAGGCGATTCAGGACAAAGCCGTCCGTCTCCTTCAAGACTCTGACTGGGGACTGTCCGATCTTCCGCATCAGGGCGTGGGTTCTGTCCACCGTCGCGGGGGCCGTCTCTGGGTGTGGGACCAGCTCAACCAATGGCACGTAATACGGTGGATTTACCTTGCGGGAGAGACAGGAGGGGAGAAGAGTCAGAAGACAGCCCTGGAGCCAGGGTGCTGCTCTGGCAGACTGCTTGCCTATCCTGGATGGTCAGATGGCACAGATTTGTCTGCGGAAGGGCCACTTTAGATTCGGCATCTGATGACAAGAAACTTGAAATATAAAGTAGTCCACAAAGGAGGGAAAGAAAAAACCTGAGCACAAAAATCTGTGTGTTTTATTTATTGAAAACTCCTAACTAGCACATGAGCTTGAAGTTTGGAGGTGCAGACGACCATCCTATGCTTTCAGGGCTAATCTCCAGACCCCTGGCCTCCCCCAGGATTTCTCAGCTACCCACTGTCTAGACTTCATGGGCTTTCACCCAGCCCCAGCCCTCCTCCAGACCCACATTCCAAAACCCTCACTGCGGGGTCTTGCTTATTCTACTGTGTCAGGGTTAAAATTGAGAGCATCTTCCCAAAACTTGGTATTTCCTTAACGTGTCCGTGTTGAGCCCCAAACGTGTCCCGCCAATCAAATCTCACCTACACAGAGGTCACGCGGCATCAGAACACTACCGCAGCCTTGACGTCGTGACACGGCCCAAGGTGGGAAGGGTTGGTCCACGATGAGCGGGCCCAGATGGAAATGCCTGCCTAGCCCAGCATTTACACTTTGTGCTCTGGGTTTCTTGGTTTATTTTTTTATTTTTGTCTTTTGTTTGTTTCTTCGTTTATTTTGAGAAACTGTTCTTGAAGAGTCCCAAAGAGGATTATCCTCGGTCCAAAGAAAAGGCTGCTTTGTAGAACCAGATTAACCTCACCATTAAAAGCCAAATGCACTGCAGTAAACTGTATGCCAAATACTTGTAAGTAATTTTTCCTCAATATATAGAGGAAAATTGATAGAATCTTACAGTCACTAAATAACTACAAGAAGCATCTTTTTTTTTTTTTTTTTTTTTTTTTTTTAAGGTAGGTTCCATACCCAAGATCAAGACCTGAGCTGAGATCAAGAGTCAGATGCTTAACTGACTGAGCCACCAGGAAGTCCAAGAAGCATCCATTTTAAAATGACTTCTACAGGGGTGCCTGGGTGGCTCAGTTGATTAAGCATCCCAACTTTGGCTCTGGTCATGATCTCACGGTTCATGAGTTCGAGCCCCGTGTCGGGCTCTGTGCTGACAGCTCAGAGCCTGGAGCCTGCTTCTGACTCTGTGTCTCCCTCTCTCTCTGCCCCTCCCCTGCTCACCCTCTGTTTCTGTGTGTGTTTGTGTGTCTCAAATAAACCTTTTTTAAAAATTTAAAAATACATGGGGCGCCTGGGTGGCGCAGTCGGTTAAGCGTCCGACTTCAGCCGGGTCACGATCTCGCGATCTCGCGGGATCTCGTGATCTCGCGGTCCGTGAGTTCGAGCCCTGCGTCGGGCTCTGGGCTGATGGCTCAGAGCCTGGAGCCTGTTTCCGATTCTGTGTCTCCCTCTCTCTCTGCCCCTCCCCCGTTCATGCTCTGTCTCTCTGTGTCCCAAAAATAAATAAACGTTGAAAAAAAAATTTTTTTTTAAAAAAAAAATTTAAAAATACATACATACATAGATACAATGACTTCTACAGAAAAGGGAAAGAAAACCTTCCTTCTCCTAGGACACTGCTTAGGAGGGGCCTCTGGTCCACAAACAGCTTAGCTTCGGAGGTTCCCTGTGCTCTCGGCCTGCCCTGGTCACGCTCAGCCCTCTTAGAAAGCAAAAGAGGGCGGCATCTCTTTTCAGATAAATAAATTGTAAATCAGTGCCTCAACTGAGTCACTTGTCTCCTGCCTAGGATCATCGAGCTCATAAAAATGTCACCCTCTGGCCTTTTCGAAGATCAGAATTATAAGAACTGGAAACCTGTCTACTTAGATGGATTTTATCTTCCTATAAGACAAAGACTACCGTCTTTGGGGCTTGGGGTCTTTCAAGGCCGCGAGCCTCACGGGTGGCACAATCCCAGACCGAGACACTGGCTACGGAGGATCCGCACGCACAACGTGCTCCCCGGCCCGCATCCTCCCTAAGTGGCGGTTCTCCCGGCTGCCACCGCTGGCCTCCCTCTGTGCCCACTCCCAGGCTCTGGGCAGAGCTGGGTGGCTCCCAGGGTGTCTCCCCCACCCCAAACCCCGAGATCTCACTTGGAGCTCGCCCCCCATTCCAGGCTGTATCTGTAATTGCGCACCGGACGCACTCCTAACGAGCATACACTCCACCTGTCACGAATCAAACTCCCGTCCCTCCCGCCCCCACACAGGGTCCTCTTCCTGGCGCCCCATCTTGGCGAGAACACCATCGCCCCAACACCCAAGGCCCAAGTCAGCACCGTGAGAAGTATCCTCGGTGCCCGCCTCTCCCTGGCCTGCCCCACTTCCCATCGGTGATCCTGTCCGTTCTATTCACGTCTCTGGAAAAACCCATTCCCGCCACCGCACACGCGCACTTGGCTCGGGCCGTCGCCTCCGGCTCAGATTCCGGCACTCTCCTCCCTGGCCTCTCTCTCCAGGCCCATCCTCTCGCCACCGCCAGGGTGAGCCTTTGTCAGGCAGGGGCCTGTCAGATCCAGAGGCAGAAGGGAGCACGAGGCTGCCGAGGCTGCCGGGGCCGGAGAGCTGCTGCTCCCTGGGGGCGGAGTTTCAGCTTCCCAAGAAAGACTTCTGCGGATGGAGTTCTGTGCGAGGGCTGCACAGCCGTGTGAACGTGCTCACTGCCGCTGAACTTTACACAGTTTCAAGCCTTACACGTGTTTCGTCACAATGAACGTTTTTTTAAAACTTAAAAACAGGATGCCGACTGCACCACCTCCAGCTCAAAGCCCTGCAGGACCCTGATTCCCCAGCACCCGCGGAAACCCAGCTGCACGGTCCAGCTCTTCGTGCTTCCTGAAACAGGCCGTGTTCACGCTTTGTGTCCACGCGCTCGAGCCGGGCAGCTGCTGGGAGAGGACCTCCCGGAGTCTGAGGGCCCGCAGGGGGTGGTTCTTGCCACGGCGCCTCAGTCCTGTGACAGGGACGCTGATGCCAACTGCAGGCTGGGAGAGGGACGGGACAATCAGGTGGAGAGATGAGAGGAGGGAGGAGGGAGGAGGGACGGGAGGGGCCACGGACATAAGCAAAGAAGCGACTCTCTCAAAAGGAAAGGAACGGCTGTGTTCCCCGGAACGCCTGGGCCTTCCGGGATCGGGGTCTGTGAGTTAGACTGAGAATCACGCCTTGAAGAAACGGGAAAAGCAAAACAAACGAGGGGAAAAGGAGGCAGTGTCTCTAAAGGTTACAGGAGCCGGTCCACGGGCTCTCCAGAGCGGGCAGCGCTGTGCCGGAGGCGAGACGGAGGGCCTGGCCGGTGAGGCTCTTGGAGAGCTCAGGTGGGGCCGGGCGGTACAAGGGGGGGCATTCTCCATTCACCTCGTGAAAAGCCTGCCCAGAACCTGGACCAGAGCCTGGGAGGCATGTGATCGCGGAGATAGCACAGCGCGCCCAACACAGAGGCTTCGTTTATTTTCTCTGCAGCAGATGAAACAGAGTTAAACTCAGAGGAAAGGCAGCCGGCCCCTTCTCCCAGAAGACAGCCGCGGCGATCTGCAATTCATTGGCACAGCTCCGCGGAGGGGGCACTCCCGACCAGGCGAACTCCTCTTCTTTACGAGAGGAGCGGAAGTAAAAATGGAGGGGCGGCTTGCTTACAGCAGGCCGAGAGGCCTAATCCCCCACCATGTTGATAATTTTCAGAGTAAAGCCCTTTCATGAGTGACAGCCCATCCCACCCCACCTTCCTGAACCCTCCACAGACAGAGGGGGGAGGGGGAAGGCTGCCCCTCTGACGGGCAGCAGCTGACAATCTGAAACGGGCACCGCCTACACACGCACACACATACGCTCTCCAGAAACAGCAAGCTCCGGGACGGACGTTCAAATTACCACCAACACGAGGGCAAGTGGTTCCGGGGTCAGGCGGGAGAGTGAGTAACAAAGGTGGCAAGCGTAGGCAAGGTGCTCAGATGGGAACATTCTGGGCACCTTATGTGAGCAGTGCCCGCTTGAATTCCAGGCTGTGTTATAGCTCCGTGGCTGCCAAGTAACCAACGTGGGAGGTGAGTAGACGAGAGTTCAGGACCTGTCTCCACTCAACACTGGAATCCCTGAGCCATGTGCATCCTTCCCAGGCGGCCTCATCCACAGAGCATCCATAAGAGGGGCGCCAGGAGCATCTGATGGGCTGAAGCAGCCCCCACCAGCTCCATGGGACCACCACGTCCCCAACTGAAGTAAGGCTGTAAAGTGTGGCTGAAACCGTTTTGACTGATTGCTAACATAGATCCAGGCACCAAGAGAGACTGCGGCCAAACTCAACTTTGAGATCATCATCATCAGCGAACGTCTCCCAGCCACCAGATGCCCATCCCTGAGCCCCTCTACACACCCACAGGGAGAGGAGGCAGACCAGGAAACGCAACATAAGAAACATTTGAGAGGAAGAATGTCAGGGACACATTAACACCCCTCTTCCCGAGCCCGTCGCCTCCTGGCTCTAGTCTATGAAGCCCACTTGAAAATCCCAAACTACCTGTGTGCCGAGAGAACACGCCCACCCCGTAGTGACCCCCGCTCATCCCCCAGTGCTCAGATGACCCAGAGCTCCTCCCCGCCGCAGCGAGACAACATGTGTTTGCCCAAAAGACAACACGTGATGTCGAAACTCGCTGGCTGCCGGCTCTTCTGTGGAGGGCTGGAGGAGGCAATCTTTCGCAACTGCTGACTATCCACTCTCGCCACAGCCTTTCAGAGGCATGAAGAAGGGGCTTCCTTTTCCTTTGTCCTATTTCCTGTCTGGGCAAAGAACTGTGGGTGCCTGGGGCAGGATGCCGAGGCGGCGGCGTGCGAGCCGACGCTCCGGGCCGAAGGGAAACAAGCCCCTCAGAGACCATAAATGGTTCTGGAATATTTGGGACTGCCGTCCAGCTTGGGTTGAATTGTTCAGCACGCCTTTTCCCCACCTGAGCTCAGTGGAATCATCTGGGCAGGAGATCGGTGGGCAATATCAGCGCAGGAGAAAGAAAGGATAAAATTCCAAAGACGGCCGGCTTGGGTGACTGCATTTGCTTAAGTTAATGTTGGCTTAGGTATCAAATGATTTCCAAAAGTAAGAAGAGATTCATTTGTGAAATAAGGTCTGGACTTACTTTGGTTATGCTATTTGACCTTGATTAAAGAAGTAAAAGCGAGCAATCCTAAGATGGTATGAGAAATATCATTACTCAACAGTGAGTGGCTGAACTACTAGTCAGAGGTACTTGTTAGGTGTGACAGGAAAGTGAAGGAGGTGTGGTGTCATCCATCAGGTAGTTCAAAATTAAGAGACGTGGGTAAAAGTCTTGATCAAGGACTTAGGAGGCATTTTCTAAACAATCTGACTTAGCTGTTTTTCCTTTTTCTCCCACCTGACTTAGAAGTAAAATTACTGGTTAGAAGTTGGAAGTTTCCAGGCAAGATTAACAACCCAATCAACAGTTTACAGTTTCTAAGAGTCCTTTTTACAGACATGTAAAGGTCATAAAAGCGAAGACATGTCATGTTTCGTGGCACTTGGTAATTGGATGCTTCAACTAAGGTCCCTCTTGGTGCTAATTTCCCATATCTGAGCGGTAGCTAAACATGACTGGTTTTCTTCTATATTCTGTGGGTCTGAGTCTCCATATTTTACGACCACTCTCCACTTTCCCTTGTACTTCAGTAGGAGGATATCCGGACATCCAGAACCATACAGTCATGTGAATGGTGGTCTAAGCCGTCCCTCCTGTCAGCACGCAGAACCAGGAGGCATCTCTGACCCGACCTTTTTCCTCACCTCCCTGAGCAAGCCCCTTAGCCTCCCCACCCCCACACTCTAAGCTACTCTTGCTCAGCAGGAGGACTTTCCCTGCTCTCAGTCTAGGACCCTCAGCCTCACCACGGCCCTGGTGGCTCATACTAGGAATCCTGCCCCAGTTCTGTGAAGTAGCTGTCCCCCTCTCTGAGCCATCTTCAACATAGAGGGAACCTTCTGATCACCCTCCAAAGGCAGCACTTCCACCACAGCGCAGGGCTGCCCTGTGTCTAAACCAGTCCCATGTCTTCAGAGTAACGCTCATGATTTTGTATAACCCAACCATTCCCAAGCCTTCTGGCTCTTTCCTCCTGCTCCCCAAGTACGTGAGGTGCGTGTGTCTTTCCGGTCAGGCTGGCCTCCTCACAATTCTGCATGCCCCGCGCTTGCTCTTGGCCAAGGGTCTCTGTTTATCTTCTTTCCCACCCTCACACTCTCTCCTCCCTGGTCAGCCCCGGCCCTGCCCAGCCTGGCCCTGGCTCCTCCATGCAGCCCTTCCCCAGCCTTCACCTCTGATGGCCTGCTGGTGCTGAGGGTGTGGCCATCGTCATCTAGTATCACATTCATTATGGCCGGAGCTAAGTTAGCTTTTCTGTCCTAACAAGCTGTCCCCAGTTTCCCAAGGTCACACTGAGCTCACAGCTGTTACTCAGCCTTGGCTCTCCTGATTCTCCTTTCCTCACATTAATACATTAATCTCAAAAAGACTTACTGAGTGCTTGCACGCCAACTTGTACTCACTGTCCAACAGGCCTCATCATGCCCCCCCCACTGTGTAAGTCTGCCCAGTTAATTACAACAGAGGGGTGCAAGGGAACAAAAAAAAGGGGTAGGAGGCTTAAAGTCAACCTACCGAACCAGAATCTCAGGAGCAGGACCAAGAATTTGCATTTTAGTAAAACTGATCCTACTCCAAATTGTGTTGAGGAAACCACACAGAGCAGTAAAATGGCTACAAAATCCTACTAAAAATGTGTACACATTTTTAAAATGACTCCCCGACAGTAGGATTATTTGGTTAGTACTCTCTCTCTTCAGCTAGACAGTGAGTTACGTAGGTGAGGGAGACAGCGTGGATCCTATCCCATCGTGCGTCAGGTACACAGATACAATTCAAGACATTTTTGGATAAAATTCTCTTTAAAACTGCCGGGATTGCACAACTCTCTAAATACACTGAATCACATTAAATCATCCAGCTTTGGGGCGCCTGGGTGGCGCAGTCGGTTGAGCGTCCGACTTCAGCCAGGTCACGATCTCGCGGTCCGTGAGTTCGAGCCCCGCGTCAGGCTCTGGGCTGATGGCTCGGAGCCTGGAGCCTGTTTCCCATTCTGTGTCTCTCTCTCTCTCTCTGCCCCTCCCCCGTTCATGCTCTGTCTCTCTCTGTCCCAAGAAATAAATAAATGTTGAAAAAAAAATTAAAAAAAAAAAATCATCCAGCTTTAATTGTGTGGCATTCGAATTACACCTCAATAAAGCAGCTACAAAATACTATCGGATCAGCCAAGGCGTACCGCCCCGGAAAACCGGAATGAGAGGCCACCATGCTGGCGGGTAGAGGCACTCACAGGATGGGCCACGAGGCACTGCTGCACATGTGCGAGGCCAGCAAACAACTGGGAAGGCAGGAGGCAAGAGGTGGAGCTGCTTAAGACAACTTGGTCATCGATGATTTGATCTAACTGAGCAAAAATCTTCTTCTTCAGCTCCAAGTTTTCTGGAACACATTCCTGAAAAGAACATATTCAAATTACTATAGATGATACTGCACTCAGGCCCCAAGCAAAGCAGCTCGTGTCTGATTCATTCCTAAAAAAAAAAAAAAAAAAAAAATCAATGAACCAATTAGAAAACTACCAGCAATTTTTAAGAGCAAACCAAAAAGCCGCTGAAGAACATGGCAAGTCTCCGGAAACTCCGGAAACTCCGGAAACTGGGGGGCGTGTATGTGGGAGCTGAACTTTCTAGCTTTGCATAGGCCTGAAAACTCGCAGGATAAAAAAGTCTGCCGAGCACATGGGGGTTGACTGACTCCACGACAGAACACAGAACAGCAGCTCCAGAGAGGCGCTCCAAACATCCACAGCAGTCATCACCACTTATTTTCCCTATCTGTTCTGACCATCAGAGCAACTTATCTTCAAGGAAAAACCTTATCTTCGTGAAACGAACAAACACGTTACATCCATAATTCCCGAAGAGCTTCTTGAGAATTCATTTCTAATTGGAAATCCTTTTGAAAAGGACCTTTGTTTCTACAAATCTAAAATTACTTTAATGGGGTGTGGGAGGAGGACAGAGGAGCAAATTTGGATTAAGTACTGCAGATAACACCACTCTGAAATCCTAATCGTGCAGAGCCGGCTGGAGTGAGAGGACATTCTCAAACAGCCAAGTGTGGGGCCACAGGTGAGGCCTGTTCCTGGGAACTCGGCGGATACCACCCTGCTGCGGATGGAAGCGGAAGGGGAGAGGACACTCGGGCTGCTCCCACCCCTTCCCTCCTGCCACCGACTCCTCTGGGAAATCACACAGCGGTCGCTCCTGCCCAAGACGGGTCCCAGCTTACCCGGAGGCCATAGGCCCTGCAGGGGAGGCATCAAGAACTCCCAAGGTTCCCTGGAGAATTTACAGGACCATGGCCTCAGTATGGTCCGGTAACCATCAGCATCAGAATAAACTGGGTGCTTGTTAAAAATGCAAATTCTCAGGCCCTCAAGAGGGTAGGGTCCTGATATCTGCATTTTAATCAAACATTCTGATGATTTTTGTTCCTGCTGAAGTCTGAGACCCACTGCTCGGGGTGTAGGTCTTCTGTACTCTCAGTGTGTCTACCGAACACACCCTCAAGACTCTCTCCAGCCCGATGTCAGAGCCCTGTCCTCCCCTCCTCCCTGAGCTACGCAGGGACCCACCAAGGATGCCCTGATTAGTGTAGCGGCATCGTGGTAGCAGAAACGGTATAAACACCAGCAGGCGACCAGAGGTGCGTGAAGGCGAATGTGCCATGCTGAAGGGCCACTGGGAATTATAGGAGAATCACCCCTCAAAAATAAAGGTTTTCAGGTTTGACTTAGTAATATTGAATCATTAATCATGAAATCTAATAGTATATTGAAATCAGCTGTGTAAATATTATGACCCCCGAATTCCGTTTCTGTAATCATCTACAAAGTTTAAAAAGTTTTACTCTGAGGGTAGGGAGTCAACATTGTGTTTGTTTATACTTTTAAAAAATATAATCAAACCATGTGAAATTTTTATTAAGAACAAAAGGTCATATAAGCGCCACATCTCAAAGACAAGGAAAAAAATGGAGTCATTTAAGAACTGTAAAGCCCATTGTATTAAATCCCCTTATCACAAAGGGGAAAAAAGCTACAGTAGCTGGCTGGTTGTATTGAGTAATTCCTGGATCAGTTAAGTCTGCAAGTTGGGTTAAGTTTAAATGGAGCCTTGTAGTAAAGCCAGAGACTAAGAATGATGCAGATACTGTTTAAGCTAATAAAAGAGTCCTTGTGAACAGCCTTATTGTGAGTCTGTCACACAGATTCGCCCCTGAAATGCTATGCCTTCTTCAGATCGTCTGATTATCAAAGAGGCAAGAAAACTTGAACCAGAGGAAACCCAAACCTGCTACAATTATGTAAGGGTTTTTAACGGCACATTTGCTTGAAGTTTTGTTGTTGTTGATGATGATAGCAGCAACTGGGCTCAATTTGCTGGGCCAGGGTTATACTGCCTCTGTCCATGTCAAGCCTTGAGTTCATTTCCTTGCTATTCACTGGGGAGCCGATACTCCTTGCCTGAGAAAGAGTATGAAACGCTATTAATCAGGATTAATCGTCACTTGTGGTTGACTGCAAAGCTAAGAGAGGCAACGGTCATTCTCTTTGCCCTAAAGGGGCTGGGAGGAAGGGCAGAGAAAAGTCCCAAACAATGAGACAACTGAGAACCCAGCTGCAACGCGGCCTCACTCTCTCTAAACCATAGCAATGGGACCAGGTGAGAATCCAGCCTTGCCTTCTGAACTCAGTGGTGGTTTTCAGGGGTCCTTTCTAGAGAAAATGGGAAGTGTTAGCAAACATTCTGTCACTATTCAAAGTAATGAGCTTGACTTTGCTTAATTAAACTCTGACAGCATTTTGGAAGCAATGATTATTATGTTTGTGTTTTGTTTGTTTTGAAGCGGAAGGGAGACACAACACATAATAAATGATATTCTCATGCACAACACATAATAAATGATATTCTCGCACAACCACTATGCTCAGGTTTCAGCAAACAAAACCAAACTCTGGGGACAAGTAAAGAGAGCACAGCGTAACTTCCCAAGAATCACAACCTTTCCTGGTACATCAGAAGTTTACTCATCTCAGGAAGTATCAAATAGTTAAAAAGTGAGGTTAAGTTTAAACACTCCTTTTTCCCTTGTCTTCTTGAAAGCAAGAAACTGGATGTGGGTATTATTATAGGCATAACTTTTAATTCTCTCTAACTTACTTATATTTTAAAGGACAGATCACGTATAGACTTTGGTGTTTTGTGATTAGAGTTACCTGTGACAGCATTCAACTCATTAGGAATGTTCTAGAAAGGCAACATGGCCATGGCAAGTCAGAGCATTGGATAATTCCCAGGCAAAGGGAGTCCTACCTAGGAACTCACTTCCGAAGTTTACTCACTCGCTGTGCAACAGTACACATCTTCCAAAACAAATATTTTCATGGGGAAAATGAAATTTCATTTTTTTTTTTTAAATCAGTTCAGGCATTTTAGATAGGCGTCCTGTTGCTAGAAAATCTACATTTGTTAATGCAAAACATTTGGAAGCAATCTTCAATGTGCCTTCCAGAAAGAAAGCAAAACTATATTAGAAGACTTTAGCACTCAGAATATTTTACATGCAAAGAAGGCCTCTTAGCCAATTGTAGCGGAAGGACATGGCAAGAAAAAGGTGAGCTAAAACCTCACTTCAACCATGGCAGAAGGAAATTCTCTCTCAAACTAAAGATGGAAGTGATCCACATTATAAAATCTGTTAGCACTAATTGTATCTTGTCAAGTTTTATTGCCACAGGCCATAAACTGCACTAAGCCCTAACCAGAGGCTCGTTCTTTTCCTTGAAATAAAAATAAAAAACATTTTTAAAGCATATTACAAATCCTAAACAGAGTTCCACGGTAATCTGGAACAAACTGTATCCACTCTAGAGAGACCTTTCCAAGGTAAAAACCAGTGTAGGCCACAGATTTAGGAACATTACTTCCTGGGGATTAGGTGTTAAGGTTACCTGGATTGTTTGCTTTACATCTGTTTATTTTTGAGAGACAGAGAGTGAGGGACAGACTGCAAGCAAGGGAGGGGCAGAGAGAGAGGAGACACAGAATGGGAAGCAGGCTCCAGGATCTGAGCTGTCGGCACAGAGCCCGACGCGGGGCTCGAACCCAGGAGCTGTGAGACCATGACCTGAGCCCAAGTCGGAAGCTTTCCCCACTGAGCCACCCAGGCACCCCTGTTGTTTGCTTTAAACAGCAGCCCTTTCTACGGGTAAACACAGGGGACAGAGAAGAGGCTGAAATGGCACCTGCACGACTTGCTGTCCCGATGATGAGTCTATTCCCACCCTCATTCCAAGGTTATTTCTGGGACCTTTTATGAAATCATTTATTTAGAATTGGGTTAGAATGCCTGCCAGGAAAAAATTACAATTAAAATTACTTTTTTTAAGCCTGCAATTAGCAGACAGTGCATTTCTAATAGTTCTCATGAGGAAGACTTGGGAGTTTTAATACAAAGTGCTGGGAAGAGCATGAAACACAAAACTGGAGAAGGATTAAGCAAGGCATAGGCATGAATTTTTAAGACAAATAAAAAACAAGTAAGTTGATGTGAAGGCTATCACATCAATCACTGAGGCCATTTGTTACCAGGGAGGACTGTGTTTGAATTCCAGGTGACAAATTCGAGAAGACTACGTGTATTACCTTTTTACATGACTTTCTTTTTGCCTCTGTGTCAGACGCATGTGTAATGCGTTTCCACCAGTGATCTCTCTTTATAAAGCAGCACTTCTCAAAGCAGCAGAGGACAGGGAGAGGTCTATTTGTGAGGTTTGGGGGCAGGGGGGAAACATAGAAATTTAAACACAATGCTTTTGCTAATAATAACTGGACTATGTATTTTCAGCCCAAACCCTTTGTTATTGCAGTGAGTGAAACAACAAATTGCACTCAACATATTTTGTTGGATGACAACCATTGTTTTATGAAAACATTCTCATTTTTGAAAACTCAGGTTTTATAGTATCATAAACTAGTTTCACTTGCAACCACGTATATGTTTGACTATAAAATAATTTTATAATACTCTCAACGGGAACAGCATCATCAAGGCAACAGCTATCCATATTTGGACTCCATCTGTCCAGAGGATAAACCAAAAAGTCAAAATTTGTAGGTGTAATTAAAACAGTTCTTATTTATCCTTCAAATCTTTTTTAATAAAAGAAAGCCCAAAATATTAACAAGCCAAGCATCCAATTTAAGAAGCCGAAATAGAACACAATAAATCCAAAGAAAAATTAAAAGATGATAGCAGAACATAGCAGAAACCAATAAAATAGAATATAAGGCAAATAAAGAACCATTAGTTCTTTAAAAAGACTCCTAGCGGGGCGCCTGGGTGGCGCAGTCGGTTAAGCGTCCGACTTCAGCCAGGTCACGATCT